TGAGTCTGGCATGGCTACTAACGAAGGCTCTCCAGAAACCAGCGTGGTGCTATCTGAGTCCGCTGCGGCTCTCGGGATGGTGACAACTAAAGACATGCTTAGTTCTGGGTCTGAAAGTCTATATTTATCAGAACTTGCGCGCGACCTAGCCGAGTATCTCACTGATGACCGAAAAGGCATTTTGCAGCGGGAAGGTGGGATTATGAGTCTAATTGATCTCTGGGCTGTTTTCAATCGGTCCCGTAATGGAGTGGAATTGACCAGTCCTTCGGAGTTTCAGAAAGCAGCGGAGCTGTGGGAGAAGCTCAAGTTACCAGTGCGTCTACGAAGATTCAAAAGCGGTCTTCTTGTTGTACAGCGATATGACTGGAGTGACGAGAAGACCATTGAAAAACTCGAGGCCTGGATGGAGGAGCTCCGGCGAGTTCCGCCTAGCGATCCTGTCCCGTGGGATTGGTCTCTCTTTGGTCGGGCCGTCACTGCACAAGAAGCCGCGCATCGGTTCAAATGGAGCGTCGGGGTGGCTGCCGAAGAGCTGGAGATGGCTGAAGATCGGGGGCTTCTCTGTCGAGAAGAAGGAATTGAGGGTCTGCGCTTCTGGCGCAATCATATCTCCTCCCGTGAGTTTGACGATCTCTCCCGCCTTGTTATTTGAGGTGGTATGGTACCATAGAAATGTCTCGTTGCTATGAGGGGTGATCCTGCTCTCGCCAAGAATAATAAAGTGATGCATTATTATACAACATATTCCGAGAAATACTACGGACACACTCTTCACACTCCCCACTAGCTACTTCGGGTATATCCACCTGGCTGCAATTCTCAATTAGCTTGTATAAGTTAAGTACGATATCCCTATAGTATTCTTAATACCTATTATATGACTTACGATCGCACCATGACACCATCTAAGTACCTTTCTATATTCAGAGATCATATGATCTGCCACCGTGAAGCTATATCATAGGTTTATGCGGTGTCTCGCTACCTACATGGTTCTACTCCATTAATCCACCTCGTTAATCAGAAAGTCTTCACCTTAACCTCATATACTTGATAAGGACATATAGACATCTAAAAGAGCACTATGAGAGGGTGATCCTGGCCAGGCACCATCTATATATATAGCAGTATATACCGGCTTTAAGGCCGTCTATAAGAATCTCCTTATCGGGAGTTGTGCTTTACAACATACAAGGGCGCTCAAGAGGGCTCCAGAGGGCTCCGACCTCGGGAAGTCGGTCAATGTGGGGATTTCTAATCGATAACGTCCCTGGGGCCAGATAATTTGGACTACTCTCAACAAATTCCTCTCGATCCTATTCTGACAGAATTCATTCTCACTCACATCTTTCAAAAATGTCCAAGCCAACACGTACCCCCGTTAGTACCAAGGGTGCACCCACCCCACCCCCAATCCTATCCCAGGGTATCGTCGTCGGCAACATGGTCTACTGCTCTGGTCAGTTGGGAGTAGACCCGACCACGGGTCAAATGGTGGAGGGAAGCATCCAGAACCGAACAGTATGAGAGACGCGAAGCCTGATTTGTGATATATTTTCTAACATGTGAAAAGCGACAAATCCTCCGCAACCTCAATGCAGTCCTAGAGGCTGCAGGGTCGAGCCTCCAAGATGCAGTCAAGGTCAACATCTTCCTCACGGATATGGCTGATTTCTCGGCTGTGAATGAAGTCTACGCTACTTTCTTCTCGGATCCTAAGCCGGTAAGTATTCTGTGCTCGAAAAGAACGAGATTCGAATTCTACAGAAAATGATCCAGTCTGGAATTCGTCTCTCTTTCTCTTATATTCTTTTCCCGGAAAAGTGGACCGTTTCTCATTGTCATTGGGCCTGGCCCTTTTAGGTGCGTACTTGCGTTGCCGTCAAGTCCCTTCCCCAGGGATCGGATGTCGAAATCGAGTGTTCTGGCCTAGTCACAAAGCCTGGCAGTGGACGCAGTTCTAGACTTTGAGCGGGACTGCAGGGGATGACGATGATGTGGAGAATGTATAGGGCCGACACCTCCACCTGGACTGTTTCATGGCACTTTTGGAGTCTTTTGATGGCTCAACTCTCGTCACACTCTCCACCGGAGACAAGAATCAAATGTGCGAGGGAGTCGGTCACATGATCTACGTATATTTTACAGTCTGGTTGGAAATATTACGGTATTCTTGGCATTGGAAACTTGTAACTTGCGTTCAACACTTTTCAATACATACAGGCTGAAACCAAGGGTGAAGGGTGGAGACTGGAACTGTAGGGCTCAGGAACAGGACTAGCGTCTGCACTCGTCCATGGTACAGTTGATGAACCCCTGGAAGTTTATTGCACAACATATAAAAGGCCCTTGGAATGATGCCGGGAGCATCCGTGGACGCTTGATATTGTTCACATCTTCGTGATACGGAGTAGAGAGTCCTGGAGTATGTCCTAGGTCCAACAAAGAGAATGTGGCTGAGTTTAACTATAATTAAACCCGTGGACCATCCATGGCTCTCGCATATGCTTGTATGCTCGGTCCTTTGTTCCTGCATTCCTAAAGGCTTCTCGATCTCGAGGGTGCATGCAGCCAGAAGCCCTTGAACAAAGCTAAAGAGGCAAGAGCTTAGGGTAATAGGAGAGGGAAACAGATTCTAGCGAGACCTTGGCTTCGTTGATCTTATACCACTTGGCATTAGTTAGCACAATCTCAAACGCACTAAGGAATGCTGAGCACCTGAAAATGACAGCAAGAATGAGGGGAAATCGCAGCTGCCAACCCTCCATTCCGATGGGGGCACGTGGTGTATTTTATCATTCTGAAACTTGACAGTTCAATCAGCTTCAGATATGGAGAATATGTTGTACACTACAATATAGGTATGGGCAGGTGTTTGTATCAGCTAATCTTTATTAGTCTATGGTTCTAGAGATAAAACCTTAACCATCGATATAGTGTGAAACATTTCTTAATATACCCTCGTTCTAATAACCCAATTTTGAGTCAGGGCTCATCCCCTACTTCCATAGTGGATTGAACTAGTACTAGTGGTGTTGCACAGCATAGTTGTATAACTCGCAAGCTAGCCAAGTACGACAATTATATATGTCTCACGAGACTTGGAAATGGAAGGACCAACTTGTGGCTCGTTCATCGGACAGCTCTCTTACTCCGTATGTACTCCGTACTCCGTACTTCTTAACGGCGGCTACACGAGATTTCTTTGATGGGTTTAAGCCAGAAGGGGGTAGGTGTGTAAGACTGGCGAGCTTGAGCCACAACTAATGGTGGTAACGTGTAATTGGGGCCACGCACTTGAGCGGATTCCCTCCACGCTCAGGTACGTGTGTGGGAAGGGCCCACTTAGTTGACGCCTCCGGGGCTAGACCTGCGACGGACTGAACTTTGCTCGGAATTGTCTTTGGCCTTGGCGCCTTTTTCTCACTTTTTCCTTCTTTTATATTGTGATCCGCGGCTTAGGTGGGTTTAGCCCCGACTCAATTCGGCATTTTTTTCGTCAATGGTCTCCGGGGCTATTGATCGCCTCAAATGAAAAACGCTTTCAGATCCTAACACGGACTTTATGTTTTTTTTTCGGGGGGGTTTGATTCGAAATTAAGTGCTGTCATCATTGTATTACATTGCGCGAAAATAGTCTCATTCTTCGGATTTTATGTGTCTACTCTATACTTCATATCTGACAGACATAAGGTATATGTGCAATCTTGTATGGGTTGAGTTGGGTACGCTCGAGTCATATCTGTTGATTTACCATCTTATCATGCTTTTTGATTGTCGATCGATATTCGCAATAGCCGGATTATATTCCAATGGTATATATTATTGTTGCACGGGTGAACGGCGTAACGGCAAAAGAGAAGAAAAGGGAAATATCGTCCGAGTACGGAGTACCTGTACATCAGTCTCTATACTGTAAATGCCGAAGAGGGCTCAGATATACTTGTACTATATACAAAGCAAAGCGGTCGTGGACCTATAGGGAACAGACTCATTCTTCCCCCATGAGCATTCATTATTCATTTCGGTTTTCTGCATGGCGTGGGCCATCATTGCCGTTATTTACGAAATACTGACTAGACGACTCCGTACCTAAATGGCTGATATCGGCAGGTTAGTGTTTAGTATGGTTTCATATGAGGGTCTTGGAATATGTTTGACTTCAGAGGTTCCAAATGGGTTATAAATAGGTATAAATATGTTGTTACAACAATAGATGTCCATAATCAGACCAGCTTATCTATTAAACATACAACGTACTTACTACATTGTTGGAATAGGGTCAAGTTCAATATCTAAGAACTACACTCAGGGGCAAGTGCGTGGCCACATCCCACGCACCTGCCAAACGCCCGGACCAGCTCGTTAAATACACTAAAAGTTGTAATTTACCGTAAATTACCCTTGTTGACGCTACCACAACGTGTCCCGCCCCCCCATTCCACCTTTCCCCCCCCTAATGATGAAGTGATCCTCTTCTTCTCTGATCAACTTCATTCACTCATTCACTCCTTTATTTCTCTCCCTTGTCTGCTTTTGCTGTGTTCGCGTTGACCTGGGCTACTCTCCCCTTGCATCGGTCACCCGCATTTTCTGTTTTCACTTTCTTTGACCTCGTTGCCCGGACGGTTCTACAGAAAGTCGTCGTTCACTCCTTACAGCTTTTCTAAGCCCACACTCGTTTTTTTCGCCTTCTGGGGGTCGTTTCAGATTGATAGAAATCCCCCTTTCCATTCGTTTATCGTCGAGTTATTGTTTGCGCCAATTCGGTCTCATCGGTTGCCATCGAGACGTTGTATACTCTGAATAATCTTGACATTGTGAATTTATCGCAATTGCCCGGGGCTTGGTTGTGTTGGAAACTCGAATACTCCAGGCACTCTACCTCCTGGTCACACTCCCTGATCATTCATGAGGTGTTGACAGACGGTGGTTATCGCATTTTTGTACACTGACCTTGGACCCGCTCTGAGCGATCACGTACAGAATTGTCCAACATGCGTCCCGACGCCATCTCCGTTCTCGCAGCCTTCCTCGCTGTAGGCGGTCTTGAGCTCGTCGCAGCTCAAGATGCCCCCGAAGCCCACGTTCAGCGACCCCGTTGGTACTTCCCGCAGGAAGTCAAGCGAACTATTCGCAGAAACGCTGAGCCCGAACCTGGCTCAATCTTCGATGCCGTCTTCGACAACGTGATTCCTACCCAAGTTTCTTCATCCACGGCTACGCCCACCCCCGAAACCACCCCCGAATCCTCGGCTGCCGTTCAGCCCCAGCAGGGACAGGAAGTGGTTATTGTGACCATCTCGATCGACCCCAAGAACCCCGAGATCACCCATCGTATCACTGGTACTACGACTATTGGAGGTGAACCGACTAGCACCACTACCACGACTACGCAGCAGACAGAGGGTTCGAGCACCGAGAACACGAGTACGCAGAACTCCGAGGCCGCATCTACCGATGCGGGAGCCACGAGCCAGCAGGGATCGGTGGTCGACTCATCAGCCGAGGCCGCTACTACGTCTCCTTCGGCCACGACCTCTAGCGATGGTATCCTTGGTGACTTGACCTCGAATGTGGGCAGTATACTCGGGGTTGATTCTATCTCCCCGACTACGACCCCGGTCTCATCGGCTCTGGTATCTTCGCCTACTTCTGCTGCTGCTGCTGCCACTACGTCCTCGACTACATCCTCGACTACGACCCCGGTCTCCGACTCACCGGCTGTAGTTCCTTCGGTTACTTCTACTGCTGCCGCTGCTGCTGCTACATCATCTAGCGGTGGTATCCTTAGTGATTTGACCTCGGATGTGGGTAACCTTCTCGGCAGTACTTCCACATCCTCGAGTGCGGTCATATCCTCGACTACGACCCCGGTCTCCGACTCATCTGCTGTGGTACCTTCGTCTGCTTCTACTACTGCTACTGCATCCTCTAGCGGTGGTATCCTCAGTGATTTGACCTCGGATGTGGGTAACCTTCTCGGTAGTACTTCCACATCCTCGAGTGCGGTCATATCCTCGACTTCGATTCCCGCCTCCGGCTCATCGGCTGTGGTAACTTCGGCTACTTCTACTGCTGCTGCTGCTACCACATCATCTAGCGACAGTCTCTTGAGTGATTTGACCTCGAATGTGGGTAACCTCCTAGGCAGTAGTGCTGTATCCTCGACTGCGATCCCCACCTCCGGCTCATCGGCTGTGGTAACTTCGGCTACTTCTACTGCTGCTGCTGCTACCACATCATCTAGCGACGGTCTCCTGAGTAATTTGACCTCGAATGTGGGCAGTATCCTCGGAGTTGATTCTATCTCCTCGACTGCGGCCCCCGCCTCCGGCTCATCAGCTGTGGTCACTTCGCCTATTTCTTCTGCTACTGCTACATCTAGCGGCGGTCTCCTAAGTGATTTGACCTCGAATGTGGGCAACCTCGTCGGAGGTGGTTCCACATCCTTGACTACCCCCGTCTCCGACTTATCAGCTAAGGTAACTTCGTCTGCTTCTTCTACTCCTTTTGCATCCTCCAGCGACAGTGTCCTTGGTGACCTAACCTCGGGATTGGGCGGCATTCTGGGCGAATCAACAACCTCCGTGTCTGCGACACCCACTGGATCTTCTAGCGCCAACAAGATCAGCAGTGCAGCCTCAAGCATGGCAAGCTCGGGGTCGGATCTTTCTGCCCTTTTGGGTTTGGGTGACAAGTCTTCCACCGGTAACAGCACAAGTGCTACTGTGTCCTCCGACCCGTATAGTTCGCCTACCATTCCAGTCAGCGTGCCTGCGTTTGCTACTAGCTCACCGTTAGCCACCCCCACCCCCACTGGAACTACAACTCCTGGTGATCTCGTCGGCAGTCTCGTGTCAAGCGTGGATTCCGTCCTTGGTGTCACCTCTACTGGCACTGGTAGCACTGCTTTGATTCCGACTGCGTCTATTCCAAATGGTAGTCTTCTGCCGTCCAAGTCGACTGCTCTCATTCCTGGCCAGGGAGGTACCAACACTGGTGCCATCCCCACCCCGACCAAGACCCTGGGATCAGTTCCTGTCCCACAGTCGCCCGGATCTGATTCTACCTCTACTTCTGAATCCGCAACTGTCTCTGGTTCTAGTATCTGGGCTCCTTTCTTAGGTACTACTACCACCGCCGCCTCTGTTCCGGGTAGTGCCTCTTACGAGAGCTCCAAGGTTCCCACCCCCACCCCCACCTCTCACTCAGCCTACATTCCTCTTCCCGTGTCGTCTTCGACGACGAGCGAAGAAGCGAGCACGGCTAAGACCACCGTGGAGTCTCAGACGACAGAGATGCCTACGCTCTCTACCTCCACTTCCACTTCCACCTCCACCTCCAACGACAATGACTGGATGCCATCGACTATTCTTATTGTGCCTACCGTCACCGCCACGGAGAGCTCGACCTCCGGCGAGACTGCGAAGCCCACGGCACCACCATCGCTCCCTGGCTCTATCACCCCGTCGAATGAAGTCACCGAGGCTCCGTCTGACTCTATTCTGCTCCAGCTTGGTTTCAACAGTCAGCTGCCCTGGTCATTTGTTGCAACTACACCCTTGTCGTCGTCGCAGATCTTCAACTATACCCCCCAGGCTATAGAGAACGCTTTGCCAAACCTCTCTGCTCAGGACAGCCCTGTTATGTTTGCTATTGAGCCTTACTATAACTGGCAGTCCACGGGATATAACGCCACCATTGCTATCTTCTATTTCCCTCGGGATAAGGTCGATGCCCTGAAAGCGCTTAAAGTTAACCCCAATTCTGCTCTCTACACCCAAGCTAGTGAATCCATCCAGTCATTGATGTCAATGGTTGACCCCACAATTCCCCTCGAGTTCTCTGGAAACTACCCCAGTGGCGAAAGCGACTCGACTGGCAGTATCAAGAATGGCGGCAGCGATGACGGCACGGACAGTGGCACTAGCGACAATACCGATGGCTCTGCCGGAAGCTCCAAGGCTAAGGCTAGCTCCGTGGGAATCGGAGTTGGTGTTGTGGCCGGTGCTGCCGCTTACGGTGCGGGTATGTTCTGGGTTGCCCGCCGCTACCGCAAGAGAAAGCAGCTGCACCAGCGCTCCAGCTCTACCGCTGAGCAGATGAGCCAGGGAGGCTCCGCCGCTGGTTCGATGTTTGCTTCCGGTGGTCGCGCCCCCAGCCAAGGAAGCCGTGGCACTGCTCGTTCACAGATGATCAGTGCTCCCGTTATGGCAGAGAATTCTTTGGGATGGAACTAGATATGCTTTTGACAATACGACGTATAAACCGCTCCTTCCATCATATCCCACCTCCTTTTGGACCCACGATGACAATCAGAGGGCACTGGGCCCTCGAGGACCCTTATTTCTTCTGAGATAACTGCTCCTTTCAATGCGCTCATGCTCTCCCCCACTCTCCAAGAGAGGTTTGGACAGAGAGACTGCACAAATCTTCATTTTCATTGTCTATCATCCGCCAAGGATTTACATGTCACATATCACGTATCTCTTCTTTCTGTGCAATTTTTGACCGGCCACTTTTCTTCTCAACATGATACTCCGAGCGACGATCGGTCGTCGCTGCATGTGTCGCGTTATCCATTTTTTTCTTTCCTGACATATTCCCCCTTTTGTTTACCAAATATTTTTTTATCCCTTTCAATGGCACTGGGACAACCAAATTTGGGACGAAATCTTTTCACTACTTTTGGCTTCCACTTGAAAGCTCTCTCTTATGAACTATTGGTCATTCAGTCTTTGGACTTGCACATTAATAATGGATCTGGGTGGTACCTTTTTGACAGCTAATGGCTTTTTTTCCCTACGCTTATTCCCTATCTCTCCTTACCTCCCTCTCCTTCCATTACTCCCTGTCTCTCTGTGTTTTATCTTAAGCTTTTTGTTCGTGCGTTTCTGCGTTTCTGTACAGATGTATGAAATGTGCCAGGTGCCGTATGGCCTTGTAGATGTGGACGTGAGCCCGTCAATGTGACGAGTATATCTCATTTTTTCTAAACCTGTCTTATCGAAGTAAATTATAGTGTAGACTTGCTATGTTCGATTTAGGACTCTTAGTCCTTCCAACAACTCATTACTACATAGACTCAGCGCCATGGCATACATTGATTGTATCAGCTGGGGGCTCATTATACATACTAGCATATTACGCTCCATGAGCCTCTCCACCAGGGGATGCACGTTGTCTTCTTGAGGCTCCGCCAGTGCTTGGTCGGCTACTTCTTTGTCGACCACGCCGGTGACCAGTCCCTGCCTCTAGCAGCTAGCCAGCTCGTTGCATCTGGGCTGCTTGCCAGGAAATAGTGCTATTACCTGGTCTTTGAGATACGGAGGCTCACAGCCTTCAAGAGCGAAATCACAGGCAGTTGCAAGGGTGCAATGGTTGAGCGCGCCCTTCAGTGGCCTGAGGTCTTTCGGGTAATTCGCTATAACGAGAGCTTTCATACTGGTACCAGTGCTATCTGTCACTGGGCTAACTAACTAGTTAAGAACGATAATAACCCTTTAAAAGTCGGCTATAGATATCGATCTACCATGGCTGTTACATCGTTAGATTATATAACAATATTCAAGGAACTTCACGAGCAATTGAACATGAATTTTCCTTCAAAATATCAGATATATACAAAGACAAAAGACACACTTCTTTGTTGAATTGCCAAAAGTGCCAATTTGTCCAAATCCGAGTCAGATAGTTCTTGATCAATCTGTTTTTGTGCCCTAACAACCAATTTTTGCCCATAATGATGCTCAAAATCAACTCTGGCGTCCCAATTAAAAAGCGACGAGCTCTCACGGAAGAAATATGGTTGTCCATCTTTTCTAATAAGGTCGAACTTCTGCCGATGTACGGATTGGTGAGCTGTTATGAATTCCCCTGTGGTTGTCACTGCCACACTACAGTGCCAAGGGCTCATGGAAAATGAGTTCTTCTGCGGAATAAGGGGACAGGAGAGCTTTGTCTGCCCCGATGAGGGATGAATGGAGAGACGCAGTGAGTCGGGGTAAACTTGACGTACTAACTCCGCGTATTCCTGCAACCTAGAGATTAGCCACCTTGTCGCTTTATATGGCGCTCTCGAAAAGACTTACCACTCCGCGGACAATCATGGCTTTTGCGATAATCTTGATCCTCCTCTTATATTGTTTAGGACCGGCGCAATCTTTAGTCACTGGGCTGAATTTTAGATCGACTTTCATGAACTTGTCATATCCTGCATTGAATCAGCTGGGAGATATTAGCTCGACTTGAAAGCCACACACTTACCATTATAAGTCCTGAGATAATCCTCATCATTTTTCAAAAACTTATCGACATCAAAACCCGGCCGCCCACACCGTCGATGGAGTTCAGCCCTGGATAAACCACAGAGCTTCACATAATCCGATTTTGAAATATGGGCGCTAGTGTAAACACCCAGCATATTCATAATACGATGGAACTGAATGCAAGCATATCCCTTCTCAACGGCGATCTTCCGCAGTCGATTCCCATATTCCCAGACCTCCTCATCAGAAATCCCCGTAAGATCTAGAATCCAAAAATCATATTAGCGTCCGATCCTGTATCTGACATCCAAATCAATAGAAGGGTTCAACCCCGCACCATTATAGCAAATCCCATCCGTAACCATAACCACAACTGCACCAGGCGGGTAAACAGCCTTGATATCCCGACAAAGATTCACTAACCGCGCTAACCCAAGCTCATCCCCCAAATCTGGAAGTGAACCTAGCACCTTGTCCATGCGGTTATTGCTCTTCATCGGAAAAGCAGGTAGAACCATAGGAATTGCCCTGTTGGCTGCAACATGTGTCTGGACACGCGGCGTAAACGATGACCGGCCCAGCCATTCTCCGGCTGTGGTTGTGCGCTCATGGGAGCCGTAGCGCTCCACGATGTTCATTATTTCCTCTGCCTTTAGGCGGGCTAAGGTGGAACATACTGCCGGTGGGTCGAGATGAGTGTCGGTGGTGGTTTCTGGCTTTGAAGCGACTGGTTGTGGTTTGGGGAGGAATGAGGCTCGTTTCTTTGGGACGGGGGTGATACAGTCGAAAGGAATTATGTCTAAGTGGGGAGATACTTTGACTACCGTTGTCGCTAGCATTTTGATGTAGCTCATGGTAGATGAGAGCGGGAAAGTCAATGGCAGCTAGGGATTGGGAAGGGGTAGATTTGGTATTCGAATGTACTCGTGATTTATAGGGGTGGTACCCTGGTAACTTGTATTGGAATCTGGTGGCTTTCTATTGCAACTTTGCTCTTGGTTCCTTATGCTCATAGCCTCCATGTTTATTCGCCGTTAAAACTCCATTTGCCGCCTCCTTCCTCCCCCTTCCCTCTTCCTCGTTATTCTTGTACTTCTGATAACTTTACTTCGGTGGGTTATTCAATAAAAACCATGCTATTGCACAGGATATAGTGGTATTGATTACCATCTGATTACTTGTGTGCTGAAACTAGTACATGACTTTGAAGTAGGACTGTTTCCATACATCCAGATTAGGCATTTGGATACTGCCCGTGGATACGCCGTATCACAGGACGTGCCGTTACTATTTGACTATTTGAAGATGCTCTCCCAGCCAAAGAAGTCGATACCTGTTGAGCTGACTGCTCATGCATGATCTGGCAAGCGGTTTCCCGAATAGGCATCAGGCTACATTTAGGTATATCTTACACAAGGGATCGGGATAGAGGAGAACCAATCAATGGTATGGCAAAAGATTCCGGGGTAAATGTAACATGTCGATATGATGTTTCATTGTTTTGACGGCTAGAGAAATACATCACAAAGCCAAAAAGGTCCAGGATGTCTCTAGAAGGGCGCGCGAAGATAGACTGACCGATCAAATACCCGCTGCTCTCTGACAAATTATAGTGTATACCAGTGACACAAAGTACTGGAGTTTTGAGGGATGGCATGTTGTATGTTTAAAATTGCTCTAGCTTCACGGCTGACTATATTCTGCCAAGACCTCCATCCCCAGGGAACATTCGCCATTCGCATCGAGTATTACGTCTGAAGCCTGGCTCGTGAAAGGTTGAGCCCATCTGTAACTTTGATAACCTTTTGGGGAACCCGTTACAGGAAGTAAGAAGCTTCCTTCTCTCGCTCCCAGCGATACTCCATCCGTTTCGCAGTCTCTACTCCGACTGCGATACCACCATAATGCGCTGAAATAAACTCCAGCATTACATCAATCCCCGCAGTGATTCCGGCAGATGACCAGATCTCAATCCCAGGCAACAACAAGCCATCAGACACCGCATCCTTGGACACACTATCACGCAGCCACCGTTTGTTGCGCTGCCAGTTCACGCCGCCCGTTTGTTTAGCGATATCATCGTAGCGGGCTGAATTTGTTGTTACCTGGAGTCCATCTAGAAGCCTAGTCTGCGAAAGGACATGACTGCCGGTGCAAACAGTTATGATGCTGTGACGGACATAGGGCGCAACAGCTGTCAGAAAGTCCCGAACCTCTTGCGTGTTGGAGACTTTAGCTTCGTTGAATGTAGTATCAGTGTCGTAAATACGGTCCAGACGTGTCCCCGGGCCACCTGGAATGATCAACACGTCGATAGGTTTGAATTCACCACTGCCATCATCGGCAACTTTCCCCGCTTTCAGGGCAGATATCACGTCAGCAAATGTACATTGTGGTAGCATTTGCTGGTTACAAGCTGTATTGATGTTTGAGACGGGCAGGTCAAATCGCCATTTTGCCTTAGGAGGTGGGATTGGTTTCACTGAGACTGGGTCGAGAGTTTCCGCTGATATAGTCAGGGTGATGGCTGATGTGTCAGGGTATTGCGTTCGAATGTTGAGAATGTCCAGTGGGGCCGCCACGTCCAGCAGCTGGAACCCTGGGAACAATGGAAGGTGGTAATGAAGAGGCCTGAGTGCCATTTTGTGTAATGCTCCGTTGGTGGAGGAGAAGGCCCGTGAGGAGAGGGGTTGGAGAAAACGTGATGGGAGGGAGGTCATTCCGAAACAGAGCGGGTCACACTTTTCGTTGACTCGGATGTTTCAAGGTCAGTTGAGGCAATTTGCAAAGGGGGACATGCATTCACTTTCACTTTCACTTTTATGCTTATGTTTATGTTTATACGAGCACCGTAAAGATAGGGTAGTAACACGCTAAACAATAAAACTGTGTTATGTGGCTTAGATATAATACCTCATTCAGAGCTTGATAATCGTCATCCTCGGAGTAACTTAGACAAGTAGATACACGGCATAACTCTCTGTTCAAATACAATCATGCATGGATAGTAATTTCAAGCTCCCGAAAGGTGAGAACCGACTACAAACAACGCTCCAGTCAAGATACAAATACCGCCGAACAACTGCGCGTACAGGTAATCGCCTCCCCGTAACGCGATCAGCTGCCCTGCTATGTACGGTCCAGTCAGTAGTGGAATGCTATTGATCGTGGTGATCATCCCAACACGTGTGCCTGATTTTTCCGGGTCTTTGGATCCAAAGTATGCATTGGCAGCGGGCAATTGACTCTGCGCACAATTAACCAGTAACCCATAGACTGTAGCCCAGATGAACATGCCAACGCGGGTGTGTACACCAATCCACCCTAGAATGGCGATACCGCAAGGGATGGAGACTGCAATGCAAGTCCTTACCGCACCCAGCCACCGGTCTGCCACAAATGCGGATGCAATTCGAGACGCAACACCAACGCCGTTCATCAGGATTAAAAGGAGAAGTGAGTCAGATGCGGTGAAACCTGTATGGGCCTGGGCATATTGTCTGAGCTGTAGATGTTGTTAGGTATGTTAGCTATTATGCCGCCAACCAATGTGAGAAACAAGACAGAACTTACATAAATGTAGGCAAAGTAAATACCCTCGAAGATCAGGAATGAGCCGATCGAAAAAAGGAGGTAAGGGCGTTCACGGAATGCACTGAAATCAACCCAGGGAGGAGGACTCCGAGGTATAATCCGAGCTCTGGTAAACTTGATAATTATAATGCTGTTGAATAGGATAATGGCTGCCATAATCCGGACAGTCCATGCGAAGCCGATATTGTTGAGACACTTATACGCGACCACTGGGAAAACCATCCCCCCAGTCGCTGCCCCGCAAGATGCCAGCGAGACGGCCATCACTCGCTTGGAGTTGAAGTATGTCGCATACAGCGAGATCATGGGGCTGAAGACGAGTCCGTGGCCAATTCCACTGACAACGCCTTGCGCTAACCAAAAATGCCATAACCTTGTGCCGAATGAGGTCGCCAATGCCCCGGCAACCTGGAAGAAACATCCAAGGGTGATGCATTGTCTCAGGTAGCCTGCGTCCATCGCTCGGCCTGAGAAAGTGGCCAGGAAATGGACTAAGAACATCTGCACCGCTCCGATCCAAGATGCATTTGCTGGGCTGACATCGAGAGTTTTGACATAGTATTCTTGGAAGAAACCGTACCTAGATTGCGTCAATGGTTTGAATTAATATCTTATGTGACGGGGCTCCCTTACGATGTAATGTAGCCCCATACATTGAACACAACCAGATGTCCAGTCAGAACCTGGGTCCAGGCTACGAGACCCCCATTGGGGATCTCATTGTTCTCAGCTTTGCGGTATTCATCTTGTTGGCGAGGATCTTGTTGAACAAATATCGGGGACTCTTCGTTATAGGTAGTGGCCGACGTTGTGTAGGACGAACCAGCGGTCGTCGAGCATATTCCGGCCGCACTGCTCTGTGGTATGTTTCGCTGGCCCATATTGTTTAGGAAGGCTTTAGAGAGAAAAATAAATTAAAGAAAATGGGAGGAGGAGAGGTGAATTCTAAAATGTGACTCCTAGGTGCTACGTACATTGTGCAGTCGATGTACCTGCTCCCTGCAGAAATTGGCAAATACTATGTTCTAGTTTTACCGATTACGGGTACTACTACATGTAAGAATACCTATATAGTGTGCAGGTAACTGATAAAATACTGTAAGCTATATGTCACTGCAATAATCAGATGCTGATCTTGACACGGAGGGATAACAATAACATCCGAAAAGGGGGGGCGCCCGGGGGGGGGGGGGGGGGGGGCGGGGGGGGGGGGGGGGGGAGGGGTGGGGGGGGGGTGGGGGGGGGGGGGGGGGGGGGGGGGGG